TTCCTATAGATTTGTTTTAAGAATTAGACATTTTTTGTGCCAAAATTCAATCTTCCTCTTTTGGTGAAACAAGTATGTTTTTATCCATAATATTTATATTAAGAAAACCATATAATTTAGATAATTCAAGTCTTTTTTTTTTAATTTTTTGTAAATAAGAAAGAAAACCTGGAACTCATAATTTCATTTATAAATATGATCTCATATTTACAAGGTAAAAAAAAGTGGAGTAAAATGAAAAATGGTCTCTTTAGATAGTGTAATATTCTTTAATTTATTCGTATTTAACATGAAATATTGTGAAAACAAATAATCAAAAACAACATTAAGTTATCAAATAAGTATATTTAAGGCAAAAAATAAAAAACTTATCATGCACAAACCCTTCTGTAATAGAGAAAATGATTATACATAGCTCATCTAATTATAATTATAACTATATCAACGTGTGAAGTTAAAATAAAGAACCAACACATAAAAGGACAAATAAGGAGAGAAATCATAGGTTTTGAGGATTCAAGTTCTCAAATTCATTCATATCTATTATAACAGAATGAGATCTGCAATGCATTAACGAAAACAGACGAAATAAGAGACGAAATAGAAGTATGCAAAAGAAATGTGTAAAAAACGTGGTTTTCTTCTTCTGTCTTTCTCTGTTTTTATATAACTAATTGTTATTTTGTTTGTGGGGTAGGGTGGGACTCTTAGGTGGATTTAAGTTAGGGTCTCATATATACATAACATCTATTATGAAGGGTAAACCCTTGACTATGCCTATAAAACTATATAATTACTTGAGATATATGTGTAATCCTAAGTACTACATCGAACTCGAGTAAAAAAAAAAAACAGATAATTTAATAAGATCAAGTATTTCAATCGAGGATTTAGGAATTACGAAGAAAAGGGACTACCTATTTACGCTAACTCATTATGGTCGGTATCAGTATCTAGTTAATAACGCCGACTCATATCTGATTAATTTATAATTAATTCTAGCTCGAGTCAGGTTTGGTTTTTGAAGTAAATAATCTAATTCAAATTTGACTAAATAATATATGGATATATATGTTTGAGTATAAATAATACATCTTAATTTGATATATGTAATATATTTTTTATTTTTAATTGACAAATTATATATTAACACATACTTTAATCTTGATATATATATTTATAATTTGGGACGAATCAACCATGTGTAACCAAAAATTCAATCGGATTAAAAACAAAATTAAATTGTTAAACCTGCCTCTAATTGGCTCATAATTAAGTTTTATGGAGTCAGCTCAAATTTGATATGTTGTCGGTATACAAGAACTCTACACTAAATTAAACTTCGAAACAAAAAGCTATAGTATGCATTTTATTCATCAAAACTATTGAAGTTAGTAAAAAATGAATAGAAGAATAGTAGATATAATACCAAAATTATAAAATATTATTTTTGGTGTTTTCTAAAAAACTATTTATTTATTACTTAGATTATTCTAAAAATATGTAATTTCACATGCTTGTTTAAATAGATTTATGTACAAAAGTAAGGAACTATATGTATCTAATATAGCCTAAAATTCCTTAAAAATAGAAATTAAAAATCTTTATGTCGTTATTCTAATAATTGTTTAATTAATTCCATCTTGTGATTAAAACAGTCCATCTGATTTAAAATTCTGAATTAAGTAAAACCATATAATTAAAAATTCTACTCTAATTGAATTATAGAATTATAAAAAAAAAATGATATTTATGGCATATTTTTTAACTGAAAATTGTATTTTAAGTTAATATTGTGTAATAAGAAATTATATTGACAGTGCAACTAGAAATTATACTACAATTAAGATAGCTTAATCAAGAGTTCGTTGACAAAATGACTGGAGAAGAAATATAGAATTAGAACAAAATTTGAAAAATTTCCACGTGATAATTATATGTTATCGAGCAAATTGCAAAAGCAATATATAATTTGGTTGAGAATTTTGTCTGGAGATATCTTGCTTATTGCAAAAGCAAAGTCCAAAAATTCATACATACCATTAATGTTTGATAAACTACCAGGTGACTAATTTCCACTTTAATCAATTAAAACCCAACAAAAGGGTCAAACCAAATGCAACTTAATCCAGAAAAGCTTACAAGTTTCATTAATGGATTCTGCTTCTTCCACGAACAAGAAGGTGTTTAAATACTCATCTGTTTCCAATAGCTGTATAATCAGCCATGAAGTTCCCTTGGCTACTTATCGTGTTCTTCTCGAGCTTGACGAATTTTGCAAAAACTAATGGGGAGATAGGAGCTTCTTTTATCTTTGGCGATTCGCTAGTCGATGCCGGTAACAATAATTACTTATCCACTTTATCCAAGGCAAATATTCGACCTAATGGAATTGATTTTAAAGCTTCGGGAGGAAACCCTACCGGCCGCTTTACCAACGGCCGAACCATCGGTGACATTGTAGGTAATGATGAAATTCTTTTACTTTGATGTATATTTTGTTAATAGAATTAGAATCTTTTTGATAATATTATTGATTGTATATTTAATTATGTTTAAATAATTATTTTTATTAATTTCCAGGAGAAGAACTGGGACTACCAAAGTATGCTGTTCCATTTTTGGCACCCAATTCTACTGGTAAATCTATATTGTACGGTGTCAATTATGCGTCAGGAGGAGGGGGAATTATGAATGCAACTGGAAGAATATTTGTGAGTATATATATATGTATACCTCTCCAAATTACCCACAAAATATATGTTTATATATGTTATAAAAATCCTTGTTATATATATGTATATAATCTTGCAGGTTAATAGACTGGGAATGGACGTACAAGTGGATTTTTTCAACATTACTAGAAAAGAGATTGATAAATTATTGGGTCCATCCAAAGGCAGAGATCACATAATGAAGAAATCAATTTTTTCAATCACAATTGGCGCTAATGATTTTCTCAACAATTATCTTCTTCCGGTTCTATCAATTGGTGCAAGAATTACACAGAGCCCAAATTCCTTCATCGACGACATGATTAGTAACTTAAGAAACCAACTTACGGTAATTAATAATACTCTGTCATTAGTCTTAATCAAAAATTATCTCTCCTTTTATATAATTTTTAGATGTTCGCTACTTAATATCTGACAAATTATTTGGAGTTGATTTATTTATATTTTTAATTAGAAATATTCAAAATTTTAATTCAAGATTGAAAAATCATATTAAACCGAACCAAGTGGAACATACTCAATTATAATTCGGTAAGGCAATCGTTCTAATACCAATTCAAATTTAGGAAAATATATTAAAAATAAAAATCTGAACTATATATTAATTAATATTTAATTTATTTTTATTACGATTATATTTAATTCGAAATCAATTATGATGGCAGAGGCTTTATAGGTTGGATGCTCGGAAATTTGTAATAGGAAATGTTGGTCCAATAGGGTGTATACCTTATCAGAAGACTATTAATCAATTGAATGAGAAGGAGTGTGTGGATTTAGCCAATAAGCTAGCCATGCAGTATAATGGTCAATTGAAGGATCTACTTGCCCAACTCAATGATAATCTCCCCGGAGCAACTTTTGTTCATGCAAATGTCTATGATCTCGTCATGGAACTCATCACAAATTACCAAAAATACGGTAAATTAATTATAACATAAGAAATAATTTAGATACTAAATTAAAAATAATAATTATTTATTATATATAATATTTAGGATTTACAACTGCAAGCGAAGCTTGTTGTGGAAATGGAGGACAATATGCGGGTATAATTCCATGTGGACCGGCATCGAGTATGTGTGAAGATCGAGATAAACACGTGTTTTGGGATCCATATCATCCCAGCGAGGCAGCCAACATTGTAATCGCTAAGCAATTACTTGATGGAGACAAAAAATATGTATCACCTGTCAATCTCAGACAACTTCGTAATTTATAAATTAATTTTTATTTTTATTTTTACTTTTTCTTCCTACAATATTATAAGATTTGTTAGCTTATTTTCTTGTTCAATCCACAAAGCTTTTTAAGTGAATTTTATATAATATACTTTCACAACTAATACAATTCACATATGCGCACAAATACTTAAATCACCTTTTTCTTTATTGATTTGTTAAGATGATCGGATATATATATATATATATATTTTTTTTTTCTTTTTGTATTTATTGTCAATTTTTATTTCTAAATTTTATTTTTTATTTTTTCTAATTTTTAAGTTCAAAAATTAAATAATTTTTTTTTTTTCTTAAATTTAAAAATAGTGCAGTAACGATGATCTACACCTATTTTAGGATTGAATCTTCATGTTTTGGGTAAAGAGGGAAAAAGATAACCAACTAGGTTCAATCCTAGAAAATTATTTAAGGAGAAAACAATATGCTTACGTTTTGTTCCCATCAAAAGCAAATGTTACATATTATACCCTTGACCTTTTTCTTTTGTTGGAAAAAACATATATTGTTGATTTGATTTCAACCATCACACTCGAATGATATATACAACCCACTCATACATAACCATATATGTAGATAAAACAAAAGCTCAAGGTTGATAACCTTCATAAATTTTAGCTAATACGTTTTAAATTTTGTTTTTGTGATTTCTGTTTTTTTTTTTTTTTTTTTACAGAAATTTAGAAAATTAATTGTATTGGTTGAGTTTATTATTTCTCTGTCATTCTTTCAGTATCAGTGATCTCAAGATATAGAGATCATAAACTCCGTCTCTCTTCATTTACCGTATATGTTGTTGATGTATATCAAGATTGCTCTCCCACTATGATATGGATTGAGTATGAACTTTTTATTTCTTAATTTTTGAAGGAATAGCCTTAAATACTCAATCCTTTTTAGTTTCAATTCATTTCCAATTTTCACACATCAAAAGGCGTAAAACAAATTCCAGCCAATTAAATAATTCAGTTAAAATTCAAATTAGAGCCTAAACAAAACAGCCCAAAACTCATCTCTTAAGCCCAATCGAATTCAGAACAACACATTGTCCTCGTAAACCAAACGGTGTCCTTCGAAGCTTCCTCTTCTGTACTTGCTGAACCAAAAAAACAAGGGGCAGAAGATACTGGGGAGACCAGCTGTACAACGGTACGCAGAGGGAAGCCAAGATGAAAAGAAATCTGGCTGGGAAAGCAGAATGTGAGTGAAGGAATTAACAAGTTATTTAGGTTTGGTTGCATCGGGTAAATTTTATTATGTATTTTTGTTTGATGAGTTTTGAGGATGGATAATCATGGTTGGTTCCCTCAAAACCCATGCATTTTAGTATTTGCATATATGCCAGATTTTGCTTGTTATTAAGGTAAGATAGTATTATACAATGATGAAATGTCCTTTTTGGCAGAAAGAAGGAAATGGTTTTTTTCATGAACCATTTTCATCACTCTCCTATTCTAGTTAGAATACTTAAAAAGAGTATAAAAATTGTTTGAAATTAATGGAATGTGCTTTACTTTGATAAGTATTTTTTTTACTATGTGACTTAGATCTTCGATGCATCATTCCATACTTAGATTAATGTAAAAAAAAGAATCACAAAGGTAAATAGAATGGGATTAAACTGGCTTAATCACAAATCACACACTACGCAGTAGTTAATTTTTTATGTTTTTCGTTTTCAGTTTTCTCTTCCATTTTCACTAATGTTTATTGTTTCCTTCAAGTTTTAAAATGTAATTTTTTTTTTTTTACCAAAGTAAAAAGCCTATGTTATTGGGTGAGGGACTTACACTTTCTTACTTTAGTATTATTTTCTGAACTCAGTTTCTTTCTACTTGGACCGGTGTATATTTTGGTATTTAACCTCATTTTAAATAGGTTAGAGGTGACTTCTCTATTCGAATTCCTTAAAATATTATTTTTTTAGAATTTTGGTATTACGTTAGAGTTGTATGACGATGACCATACCTACTTCCCACTTTAGAAATGGCCTTAAACTCACAATATGTCTAATTATGGCTTTTTTCATGCCAAGGACCCTCTCGAATAAAGCTAGTTAACCCTAGAACATGCTTATTCTGGAAATATTTCCTTTCAAAATTTGAGCGCACAAACTATCCTTCTCCTATTCAAGTCTCCACCCCAGCTTCATGAGAAATGCCTTAATTTACACTATCATATTTGTTTGACCCCAACTTCTCTTAATTCTTTATATTGATAAACTTTACTCTTCTCGATCAATTTTTGAACTCAACAAAAACAATTCTATTTTTTTAGTTATTAGACAAATTTTTTTCTCAAGCACTTTTAACATGAACTGCCAATTTTCTTTACATAAATATCATTTAGGGAGAGATTTGCCTATTGTCAATTATTACTTAGTTATAAAGATAGTGACAGAAATAACAAATTTCATTATATAGCTTTGGAAAATATTCATATTGCATTATAAATCATTTTAGTGCAAATAAACCCCTTAAAATAGAAAATGTTCAAATTGCAACATTATAATTATTAGTAATTAACGCCATTAGTAGTGATCACATGTCTTCACTAATGTGTGTAAGTAGATACCACATGAACGTCATGTCATCAACACGTAGCATCTACCTGAACTAACTCAGGAGGCATCAGTAGCTCTCATGCTCTAACTAATGCATAGATCCCAAAACCTACTAAACACCTATCTACTTCTATTTAGATGAGTTTTCTTTTGCACCCAACCTTCTACCTTTACTAGTGTTTACTTCTCCGGTCATCAGTCACCTTTTATCAAGATGCTAAAACAATTTTTGCTTCTATCCCTAACTTTACTGAAGTTCATAGCAAACTGAACATTGGGAGAATTTAAAATTACCTTATTGCCCAACTGTTGACCATAAAAGCCTTTAGGCTTATCCTTCAAGTTATTAAGAAAGGGAAAGTTGCAGGGCATGACATCCTGATAGTGGGTCGGCCAAGCATGAGCAAAACAACAATTGCCATTAGCATGGCTAAGTCACTGGGCTTGGAGATGTGATAGTTGGCAATGACCTCTTGTACTTGTAAATGTCAAAAACAAAAGCCCTAACCCAAGCTTTTCACAAAGGAATAATGATCCGAATTAAATAAAAGATCAAAGTAATCAAGGGTAGGTGGTTGAGGTCTAGACCGACCGACTTACTATATCAAGGGCCACCTCAAAGACCAGTAAGTTAATGTTGAAGACCATTGAGATGGATACGGTTTACGATCTTGGTGCCAACATAATAGAGCCTTGGAAAAGGAGAAGGTGAATAGTAGAGATGCGATTGCCATAGACAAGTTTTAAGGAAAGATAATGAAGTTTGGTCAGTTGTTTACGAGTTTCAAAGATTCTGATTAATGCAGGAAGCTAGGTTCAAACACCTTGATCATAAACCCATATATGCATTAACATGTAGAAAACTTAAGTACCTAATATAACCCTCTTTGCTTGAACCACATTTAATCTATGAATACCACATTTAATCTATGAATACAAACTAATGTAACTGGAAAATAAAATAGGAATATAAAAAACATCATAATTTACCCGGATAAATGGATTCAAATTCTTTGGTTCAACAAGATGGTTGAAGCAAACTCACTTTAAGAATTCTCACTCTCACAATTTAGCAAAGCTAATATAAAGAATAAACTAAAATTTTATTAATTTGAATTGAACTTGTTGAATTACAGTCTAAGATGAGCTCTTTATATAGGTTTTCACTGGACTAATTCTATAAAAAATCAAACTCTAGAATTTAAATCAACCTATATCTAAATCTTAATCTATCTTAATCCAAAACTTAAAATAATAATAAAAGAAATAAAAAATTAAAATCAATAAAATAATAATTTAGATAACTCTTCCTCTCATAGCCAAATTTCACCATGTCTCTTATCTTCCTTGAGCTTTGTCTTCAATCTGATGTAGACTTCTTCTTAGGATAAAACTTATATGAAAATCACAAGAAAACACATGAAAAAAGAAGAGGGAAGTGTGTCCGCACAGTCATGTTCTTTCTACCTTTAGGACTCATCTTCTCCTTCTTTATCTGTTGGATGCAGCCTCCATAAGTACTAAAAGAACTCTTAGACAGATTTGAAGAAGGAGCCATTGGGCATGGGGCTTTTCACATGAGAGAGAATCCCGCATATGCGGGTTCTCCCTCCTGCACATGTGATTGCCCACACATGTGAACAAGAATGCTCACATGTTCGGCGTGGGTTATCTGCAGGCTGAATGGCTAAATGGCTTTGCCTTGGTTTTCTCTTGAGTCTCCCAACTGAGCTTATCACTTATCCATTCTTGGACCAAAAGGTCAAAATTTTGTTGAAACTTCTTCGCACATTTTTTTGTGTGATTATGAGGGCAATTGGATCCGGTTTCCTAACTCTCCAAGCCCATCTTGAACGAATTTGGACTACCTTTGGGCTTGATATGGAATAGGAAATAAAAAGGGCACACAATCAGTTTTTTTTTTTTTTTTTGTGAGAGAGGAATCCTTTTCCCCATGGGATTAAGATTCCTTGCGAGTGCGAGACTTCTCGCAAGAAGCTTCCTTCTCACAAGCACACTCTCAAGCATCCAGAGGGTGATTTGTTGTGTCTGGAATCACATCAATGATTCCATTGGTCCTCAAATTGAGTTTGTCCTAATGTCTCATGGAGAGTTGCAAAAGTGTAAGAAGGTTGTGCACTACGTCATGTTTCACGAGATTGATGTCACCAATAGTAGGTATAATATCTCTTCTTTTCTCTTGTTGTAATGCAATTTCAATAGTTTATGTTTACGAGATGATACTAGTTCTTTTTGAAATGGTGTTTAAATTCAATTGTTTGATAACTATTGTATAGAAAACCTAATTTACAAGGATTAAGTTTTTATTGATTGTGACAGTTAATGGATATAGTTTTCTATAAAATTTAATTGATAAATTTTGTTTGTTGTAAAATTTAATGGATGTAAAATCTAAAT